AGCTCCAAGTGTCTGGCATAACCTGTTAGAGCACAAAGAGAATTAAACAATTTGCACAGACATAGTGCTTAGAGAGTGTGGATAATTAAGTTTTAACACTGCATTCAATAGAACTATACAAGAACCAGACAGTGTTAAGTCCCATTGTTTAAGTCCATGCACATGGTTATCACTTTCATTATAATCAATGGCAGGATTGCCATGCCCATTACTGAAGAACTGGGGAGGAGATTTGTACATTAGAACTACAGAACTGTACACACTTAAGCACATCACAAAACCAGCTCAGCAGAGGGACTGTCTGGGTCAACTTGGGGCCTGTGAAATTAATTACCCATTAATGAATGTCAGTGAAAATTACTCTGGAAATACTCAAATCAGGCATCAATTAGCAATTGTATCTTTAAACTATTTTGTCCCTATTTTATTTCCTTGTCTTCAAATTTTAACGTCAAGTGAAGGTGTTTGTGTAGACTGAGTAATGTTCAAATACACTTTTGTATGTATGTGTGCCAGTACAGTATCTATTTTGTGAAGGCCCATCATTACATGAAGTTGCATCTGTATGTTTTCATCATAATATTAGACCAGTGAGCAGGGTGGTCCTTGAACAGACCACAGGGTCATAGCTGAGTACTAAATTAGAACCAAATATGCATTACTTAAACATGCATTTTTGCAACAGTAAAGTTGTCATTTCTGCAAGCATGTAACTTCCCATTCTAGTTTGATTTACCAGCTTTTTTATTCCTTCACTCGAAGGAGCAATTGTGCTTTTATTTCATTCTTTTCATTATAAATGCAAGTGATCTATGACTATTTAGAACCAATGCTACATTAAATGGGAAGACCCTCCAGCAATAAGACTATATAGTTCAGTGGAACTTGTGTATATTTAATTAAGAAACGCCACTCATATAGAACTGAAATGTACTAACCTAATTTACTAGCATGTCTGTCTCTGTCTATCCTTTGTTTCTCTCCACCCTATACACTGCCCTGCCATCCTATTATACAAGGTAGGTAGATTCTTGCTTGGCTGAGCCGAGATCAAAAAGTAATTTTTCTTTTTGCAACAGCCGATTAGAAATTCATTTATTTTCACATTACAGACATTTGGCAACAGCCACAACCACCACAACAAATCTCTTTGGCAATTTAGCTCTATTTGTATAGTCTGCATAATGGGAGACAGTGAGGCTGCTGCAAAAAAACTCCCCCATGGCCCAGGGCAAAAATTAAATGCAGAATCATGTATTGGAAATGAGATGTATTTACTATTGTTTTTGAAAATTAATGGTGCATTTTTAGTTTTTATAATGTAATTTAATGATGCAATTCATCTAATAAAAACATTTTAACATAGTTATACAGACCTAGTGGGGCAGGGCAAAATGTACCTTTCAGATGTGAGATTTCCTAACCCCCTCCCTCAAGAAAAAATGCTTGAGGCCTTATTATTATTTTTTAATCATAAAAGTAAAAGAGAGAGAAACTTTGCATAACAGCTGGGGTATCAGCAGGAGTCCAATAAAAAGGACATTTTTCTTCCTAAACATTGGTGTTTGTGCTGCATACACTAATATTATAAATGCAGCACTGAGTTTGAAGTAGAACTTCATAGTTGATTATGGAATGCCATATGGTGGTAGCATGTTAAACTGATCAGATGGAGGAAGGATTGCTGCTTTCAGTGCAGTGGGTGAGCAGTTTTTGCTTAACTAGCAGAAGTATGTTGTGCAATGTAAATGCATTGATGCTGTCAGTTTTATTTGGAGAACCTGAGACTGTTAGAAGAACTGTGAATTAGAAAAATTAGAAGAACTGTGATACATCAAACTGTCTGTCTAGTTCAGCATCCTGTTTCCTACAATGACTAACTGGATGCATCTCGGAAGGCCACAAATGCGACATCGAGGGAATAGTTTTCTCCTGCTGTGGTTCTGAAACAGCATGTATTAGGCTGTGTACACATGGCACAATTATAGCACTTTGATCCCAATTTAACTGCCATGTGTCTATCCCATGGAATCCTGGGATTTGAAGTTTCATGAGGAACCTAGAATTATCTACAGCTTGAGTCTCCCTTATCCAGAATTTTGAAATCCAAAATATTCCAAAACCCAAAACTTTTTTCATAGGTTGCTGAGATGAAACAGCTTTGCTTTCTCTGCTTTCAGGGACATCCATACTTTTCAACCAGTATTTGCTAATGTTCAGTCCCCTCAGCTCCAGGCAACTCGGGCAAGGTGATTCTGTGCATGGAAGGTCTCTTCTCTGTGTCCCACAGTGGGAGCAATGCACTGTGCAAGTATAAGGGAGAGGATTTTCTCTGCTGTGGCACCCTGGTTGTGGATTGCCCTCAGAGACTTGATTGGCACCAACACTGGCTTATTTCCAGCACCAGGATAAAACAGAGCTTTTAATCAAATCTTTTTTTCAGGTAGGGGTGGGGTGGGAGTTGACTAACAAATTTGCCCAAATCTGCACAGGTTTAAAACTGTTTTAATTGTTACACTGCTCAATATGTCAGAATTCAAAGATATAGCTGTGTTTGTGTAATCAGTATTGTAGAGAGATCTTGTTGCACCTCTGAGACTAACTGAAAGAAAGAAGCTGGCAGCATAATAATAATAATATGAACTAGCATGAACTTTCATAGACTTAAGTGTACTTCCTCAGATACATTTGGTGGAGTGAAAACGAGGGGCAGACATATATATGACATTGGTATGTAAGAATCTCTATTTAAATTCAAAATCCTTTGTGTATGGAAATGAAGTGGCAAGACCAGTTTGACTTTGGAAACTAGCCTGTTGATGGGGAGAATAGATGAGTGTAGGATGTCCCCTTGAGAGTGAGGTCAGATAGTGTTGAAATGTGTGTATTGAGCCAGGAAACCATTATCTTTGTTCAGTCCATTGCTGAGGGACTGTAATTTGTGGATGAACTCCAGTTCTGCTGTTTCTCTTTCCAATCTACCTTTGTCGTTCTTTTGTTCAAGAACCACTGTTCTCAGGTCTGAGATGGAATGGCCAGGCAGATTTACATGTTATGGTTTTTGTGTATTCCCATTCTTAATGTTTGATTTATGTCCATTTATCCTCTGGTGCAGGGACTGGACTGTTTGCCTGATATAGTGTGCTGATGGGCATTGATGACATAATATGGCATAAATCACATTGGAGAATGAGCATGTGAAGATTCCCCTAATATTGTGGGTGATGCCATTAGGTCTTGTGATGATAATGTTTAGTTGCACCTTGCCTGAATTGCTTGAAGCTGAGGGGACTGAACATTAGCAAATATTGGCTGGCATAGTTATCCCTGAAAGCAGAAAAAAGCAAGGGTGTTTCATCTCAGCAACCTATGAAAAAAATTAATTGCTAAATGGTTTAATATGTTTTAGACTGTTTAAATGATTGCTTTAAATATAAATTGTTCAAAGTTAAATTAACTTTACCTGTGTACTGCCCTGAGAAGCTGTGAATATAGGGTGGGATATACATATTTTATTAAAATAAAATAAAATAAAATTAATGCACCCTGTTCAGTCAGGTCTTTTACATATGAATATAGCATGTCACTTTGATAATATACTCAAACCATTGCTGTGGTTATTTCTGAGGCGATCCTTCTTTTGACATCATGGGCCACAGTCCTTCAGATGTGGAGCCCTTGAAGTTAACACTACAAAGAGAGGATTCCACCTATCTTATAACCCTCCATTCCTTTCTCCTCCCTGACAACCCTGTACCATGCTGTGCCAACAAGGCATCCTGTTAATTGACAAGAAGTATGCTTTTGAATATCAGTTATATGTGGAAGGATACTAATTTCCATCTAGTGGACTTCCCAGGGACATCTCATTGGAGTGGGAAGATGGGGGTGTCAGGATGGTGAACTAGATGGAGAACAACTATTCTAATGTTCTTATGAGGGTTTTCCCCCACTCATACAACAATTCAACTTCTCTGAGTAGGAGCATCTGGCTTTGGGATATATCCTATTTATGGAGGTTGATGTTCAGTCCTTCATGGCCTAAATGCTGAAGTTAGTCTTAACTAGATTAGACCCAATGAATCTGTAAGATTTACCTATATGTGAGCTCATCATTTAGGAGATGATTCAATGAGTCAACTTGAGTTCAGACTAACGAACTCATACACTGCATTGTGTACTTGAATAGGCTACGTAAATTGTAGTTGTTTGTTTGGGATGAACCATATGCATGGATCTAATGTATGAACTCTTGTGGTGAGACTTCAGAGAGTGGAAATCTGTCATGAGAGGAACCATACATCACTACTTTCTGTTTGCCCTTGTACATAGCTTTGGAAATCAATGAAGTGGCACCAGTAATGAAGCAATTAGTAACAGGCCAAAAGACTGGCTCAGTCACACATCCAACCCTTTACAAGACTGACAGGTTTGCTTTCACTCCCATGGATTCCACCTACCAAGCAGTGGCTGGCACCAGAAAGTTATTGATAGTAAATGGAGACAGCAGTCTGTTTCTAATGGCATAATTCACCAAAGCTTTAGATTTGAATCAGTGGTGTGGAAGTAGAAAGCTCTGTCTTTTTCTGTCCTCTGAACCATATAGCCCTCTGTTCTTGCCTGAAACAAATATAAGCAAAGTGGATTTTGGATTGAAACCCAGTAAATGACACAAAGACATCATTTCTTGCTATATTTGTGAACGCTTTAATAGTTTAAGGTTTGAAGCCATACTTAGTTGAAACTGCCTGGAAATTTTATACTGTATTTTTTGCTAGTTTTTGCCTGTGAAACTAGTCTAATAGGACTAGACCATACTAGTTTCATATTAGGTTTATATTTGGAGTCCTGACTAAATCAGGGTCAACTATAAAGCATTTTTATTGGCCATATTGTTTTTTTGGGGCTGGAAAAGTAACTGTGGAACTCATATCTGGAATCAGTACTGGACTGTAGATCAGCAAGCAAACTGAAGTTTCAGAAGATGCTAGATACTGAGAACCAATGTGGCATACTGGTTTGAGCACTGGACTATGACTCTGGCAACCAGGGTTCGAAACCCTGCTTGGCCATGGAACCCTACTCAGTGAACATGGGTGAGTCCCACTCTCTCAGCCTCAGAGGATGGCAATGGCAAACCCCCTCTGAAGAAATTTGCAAAAAACAAAACAAAACAAAACAAACCCCCCCCCAAAAAAACCCCTCACACCCAACTACAACCTTCATCTTAGGGTCGCCATAAGTTGGAGTTGACTCAAAGGCGCAGCAATAACAATAGACAAGATAGGCCTTTGATCTGAACTATTATGATCTTATGTTGTTGACTGATACATTAGAGTGGACTCTTCCAATCTGCAGGGGTTCAGTTCCAGTTCCCCTTGTGGACTGGAAAAATTGTGGATGTTCAAGCCTCATATTATTCAGTCAGTGGCAATGTTCATATGTCCACACCAGTGCTTCTACAAGCACACATGCATGCATGCATGCACGCACGCACGCACGCACGCACGCATGCACGCACACACGCACACACGCACACACTGCTGCAGATGCTCCAATCCATGGTTAGCTAACATGTTGATGAGGTGGGCCACTGTAATAGGATTTTGTCTGTTGGACACAACAGCATCATCCTTGAAAAATCAGGTTTACTATTTTGGGGTTCTTCTGAATCCAGCAGTATTTTTAGATCTGCTGACAGCAATGACCAGGAGTATTTTGCCTGTGTCAGCTGATGTATGTGCAGTAGACCTGTTCCAATCAGTTACATCAAGTTTACAATACTGTATTATGGCCTTTGTAGGGCTATCTTCTGAAATGTCAAAAGCTTCAAAGTTTTGGAATAAAACCAGTTTTAAGTGACTTGTTAATCTTCTATTGTATCAGCTTTAGTGGCTGCTAATTTATTTCCATGTACACGTTCTTCTTTAAATCTCCAAATAGTTTAGTGTCTGGATATCATAAAAATGAATTGTCCTCTTCATCTTGGCTCCTTTCCATTCTAGAGAGAAGTTATTAGTGGGATGCCTCAAGATTCTGTCCTGGGCCAAATGTTGTTCACCAGTGCTTAAAGGACTTGGATAAGGGAACAGAGATCACACTTATCAAATTTGCAGCTGCCATGAATTGGGAAGGATAGTTAATATCCCAGAGGATAGGATCATTATGCAAAATAACTTTAACAAATTGAATTTCAACTGGGATAAATGTAGCTTACTAGTAAGCTTATCACACTGTGTTCTCGTAATGTAATGGGTACATAATGTGAATGGAACGGAACATATTTTATTGCATGATATGATCCTCATTGAGTTCCCATTCTGTGCTCTGACAGTCCCTAACCCATTCCAGCAGGAAAACTATAAAAATGTGTCCTCAGCCAGCAAAAATGCTTACAAACCATTCCATATGATGTGTGTGCAATAATCCTACCTGGTCTCAATCTGTCCTTGTGTTCTGATTGGCTAAGACAACCTCCTCCCCTCCTGTCCTAGAACATCCACAAACTCAACTCAACTCTTCCTCTGTTGACACAAGGAAGGTGCCACAGGTAATTTAAAAAAATTTTTTTTATATTTGTAGATTGAATTGTGTCATGTTTATGAGAAAAAGCAATGAATGCTCACTACCTAAACCTCTTGGCAGCATTCTTTCCATAGGGGTTTTTACAACAGAGAGCATGTACCAATGAGGGACGGCTGAGGAACTACTTTAGCATCGGTACCAGTACAACAGTAAATGCAGTGTGATAATATGTGTTCTCATAATGTTACTATCACGTTATCAATAGTCTAATGTGGTAACACCTGTTCTCATATCGTTACATTCCAGATACTAGTGTGAAGCTTATAGTTTAAGCAGAAGAAATGAAGTGCAGAAATATAGGATGGGCAACACTTACAACAGTATATGTGAAACAGATCTTCGAGTCTTAGTAGACCACAAGCTAAGCGTGAGTCAACAGTGTGATATGGCAGGAAAAAAAAGCCAATGCAATTCTATGCAGCATCAACAGGAGTATAGTTTTCAGAAATAATAGTATCATTCTATTCAGATCTCATCTGGAATCCTGTATCCAGTTCTTGGCATCAGAAAGAGGATTCTGACAAGCTGAAATATGTCCCAGAGAAGGATGACCCAAAGGATGTTATTCTTCATTAAGTTTCTTTACAAAAGTAGTAATGAGTAATTTCTTCAATTTTCTTTTTGCTGTGAGAAAGTATTTGAAAACCATGCAGTTTTTGAAGGCTATTTGCAATTCGGGACTTTTTCTGCGCAAAATTTGCACATGGTTGTTTGGTGCAGAAAACAGCATTTTCTGCACAGTAAAGAGCAGTTTCTGTATGGAAAATCATATTACAATGCAGGCAAATATTAACTCTTGCACATGGTGTTTTCTACTGCTTGCTATGCAAATCAATCATGTGAGAATTTTACTTCAAATAAGCCCACCATTACGGTAATATGTGTGCATAAAATAGCATTTTTTGTGCAGTCGTTAATACTTCTGTATCGAAACATTATTTTTTATGTAGAAAATGCTGTTTCCTGTGCAAAACAGCCACATGTGAATTTTATATCAAATAAGTCCCAAACTGCAAAGATTATCCTTAGTCCAGCATTCTTTCTTTCTTTCTTTCTTTCTTTATAAAATTATAAACATGGGGCTACCCTTGTGCCTAACCCGGAAACTACAACTGGTGCAAAATATGGCAGCCAGGTTAATTACAGGAACATCTAGAAGGGAGCAGATACTTAAATCCCTCCACTGGCTGCCAATTAGTTTCCGGGCACAGTACAAGGGGTTGGTTTTGATCTTTAAAGCCCTACATGGCTTGGGTCCATCTTATCTTAGGGACCGCCTCTCCCCATATGTTCCCCCCCGCACCCTCCGGTCCTCTGGGAGGAATCTGTTACAGCCAATAAAAACTAGGCTGTCCCAGACCTCCCAGAGGGCCTTTTCTGTGACTGCTCCCAGACTATGGAATGGTCTGCCGGACGACATCCATCTTATTACCACCCTTGCTGCTTTTAAAAAAGCAGTAAAGATG